AGCCTGGAGCTGAGGACTAGGACTTCAGTTTGGTCTCTCCAGAGGGGCACTCTTACAGTATAAGCATTTGGGACTGCCTGCGGCAGAGTCTCTGTGACAAAATCCCAGCAGAGAGAAAAGCACAGTCTTTCTTTGGTGCTGGCATCTGTCTCCTAGAAAACACGAGTGACAACCCTGAAGATACCTTACTAGGTTCCTGCTATCTCACAAGAAATAGTACTTTTCTGAGTACATTTGTATTGTACCCTAATACACATCTATGATTAAATAGAGTCATGGCAATAAGAATGCAAAGCAGTGTTTTTAAAAGGGTACTTTAAGGATTCTGAGATATCGTGGGATAGTAATTGAGAGCTAGGATTAAGGCACTGAGCAGTAACACCCTCTACTTGGAATTCATAAAAGGCAAGAATTTCAAAACAGAAAGGTCCAAGCTTACCACTGCCCTTACCAAGTTAATCCTGGGAAACACTTTTTATACCTTATTCTGATTCCAAGAACTACCAGGATGAGTGACTCTGAAGCTATAGTGGGCATTGAGAACCAGGATGCTTTAGAGGGCTAATTTTTAGGCCTGTTTGTGGCAGAGTAGTTTTCATAATCCAGATGTTTCCTCTCCAATTTTGATCATGACATCATGCCTTTCCTCTTACTAAGCTATGCTTGGTGAAGCCATAGTTTTCATCCTTGTTCACGGAGGAGCTGATTAGGAACCCAGGCCAGTACGTAGCTGCTCAGGCCACTCTTCAGGAAAGCCTGTCCCCAGGAACTCACAGTGACCCCTTGAAATCCCGTGGTGACTGACCCATGCTTATTCCTGTGCAGTGTGACAACGAAGATGACTACAGGGAGATCAAGAAGGCCCCAGGCGAGAAAGAGAGCTCTTCACGCCTGGCCACCTCCACCAATAATACTTCGTCTGCAAACCACTGTAACATGAGCATCAACAGGTATGCACGTCCCCTCCATGGCGGAGGCGACCTGGAGGGATGTCTGGATCTGAACGTCATGTGCCATATTGGAATATAGTCAGATTTTTGAGGACTACTGTGGTTTTCTGAATCTGCAGACTTACTTCCCTTGGTTTAAATTAGGGTTTATAATTATGGCTAGACACATGTCTCAAGCCACAAATCCACATAGCCATGCAAGGTACTTCCTTGGAACCAAAGAGCAATTGCTAGTTACACACAATTCTGTACCCAGCAAGACATGCCCTTCCCCCTAAAAAAGTTAATAATTCAATTTTTGAATCATCATTTTAATGGTAGCTGCTAACTAAACTCAGAAGAACTTAAACTTACTACACAGATAAATATACATTTAGAACTGTATTTCCATGCAATATACCTAAAGCTCTTGGATATTGACTAAAATTTTCACATGAGACAAGGGTCTGTGCCTCCAAGGTCAAATGGCTAGCCAGTAACTCCTCTGAAGGGGTTGCAGAGGGACCCACCTTGCCCTGAATTCCTTCTGTTATAAATAGCTCTCTAGCACGGCAAGGTCCCAGGTATTTATTATGAGTGAATAGCTTATCATCAGTCATAGCAGCTCTTTCCATTTTGAAACACCACAGCACACCATCCACTTTTCCTCTCCCAGACACTCTTCACTCTCCCAGACTGTATACATAGAATTTTTAAGGGAAGATGAATGTTTCAGAATAACACATAAAAATGTAAACTGAGAGGTTAGGAGAAGATGTAGAGCATTGCTAAAACTCGGTGAGGAAACTGGAGAGCAGGGGCACACAGGCAGAGGCCCCTACGGCATCAGAGTCACCTTGAGAACGGAAGGCAAGAGCGCCTGCAGGTGTGAGCAGGAGGGACGCTGCATGTGAATACTGGCCATCTGCACAGTCGTGCGGCAGCTCAAAGTATTGAGAAAAGGTGAATGAGGAAAATGTGGCCCCAAGATATTTTTTTAAACATATGATATGGTTATATACGTGTTTGTTTATTAATGCATTAAATGGCATTTCTGGCCACTCTAGTGGCCACCATAATTTCTAAACAGTGATGAATATAAGGAGTATTTCAGGGTGCCTACAACAACTGCAATATGATATAAAAATACCTGATTTTTTTACTGGTAACACAATCACAAGATTTGCTAATAATATTCTACTAAACCATGGCTCTGGGTTCATGCCTTCACTCATAATAAAAAGAAATGTCCTATTTCATTTAGAAATAAAACAGTTTAGTGAAAACGAAGATGTAACTTTTTTCCATCCAAGTTCATGGACACCAGGTTAAAAACTTGGTCTAGAGCAGCAGTTCTCAACCTGTGGGTTGCAACCCACAGGAAGTGTATTAAAGGCTCGCGGCATTAGGCAGGTTGAGAACCACTGCTCTAGAGACTTAGCCTGGCAGAGCCTCCCAGCCCTGATAGTTTTATTCTAATACATACAAAAATGCTTAGAGTTCTTGATGGGAAAGGTGGTCTGTGAACCTTTGGAACTGCAGTTACTACAGTGCAATAAAACAATCCCAGAGATAGAGTGATCACCAATCCCAAAGAGGCACTCCAAAGAAAGTTTCTGTTGTCAACTTGCAGGGACGAGGCAGGAGCCATTAAATGTCCGTAACAAAACTTAATGCCATAATTTAGTTTTCCGTGCATAGGAAAAATCATGACTCTTGTAAAATAATACTTAGAAAAATGTCTTTTTTCACTCACATTTCAAGAAACAGCTATACTCAGACCCTTCACATCATCTTCCCTAGATGAGCCACTTTTGATTTTCCCACAGCAGTTTTTTTATAACACATCTTCTCACTTCTGAGTTCTTAGACACACAGTGCTTTTGCAACCAGAAATCTGTCACCAGAAATTCTATCCCTACATGTCTCCATGTGCATACATTAAAAACCTCGAGTTTCTTGCTTATTCTCAAGGCCTCTGTAATTTCTCCACTGTGACCAACAACTAAGAAAATTGCTTTTTGAAGTGACTTTAATGGCTTGTTTCTAGTGATAACCAACACATGCAATTAAGAGACCTTCACCCCAGGTATAATGACTAAATCTTTGTTTGATGGCTTTACTGTTTTTTTTTAACTGACTGTATCAGGTGACCTCTGTAAGGATCTTAAATTAGCAATGATTGAGTTTATTTCAGGCTAATGTGTCTTCCCCAAATAATACTTTTTTCTTTTTTTTAAGTAATGGAGATAGCCCTAACAATTATATACACATTGCAAACACTCAAATACAGTAAAACCTCCATAGTTTACCATCTCACTACATTTACTGCCTCCTTAAGTTGACCTGATTTTCATAGACTGGACATCCACCGCATGTATTCAGTGAAAGTTCTGTATGTCAACCACCTCTATATGTTGACCAGTTTATTACAGTCCCTTGAGGAGTCAACATACAGAGGTCCTAATATAAGTAGATCCCTTTTCCCTGATGGTTGATTTTGGAGAAAGTTATATTCAGGCATAGGCAATTAGGAACTAGGAATCAGAAATTGTAACTTCTGATACTTTTTAGTGTTCTGTATTTATTCTTATCAATGCCTGGTTAACTCAGAAACTCAGCAGTTGAAAGTTGGCTTCATGTGTTGCAGGTGATTCTGTGATTCTCGTATTTCCTACATAATAATGAGTGCAAGCTCAGGTGGTGACATACATCTTTTGTAAAATAGTTGTCTTATTGTTATTGATTGACTTTTCCCTTACTACTTATGCTTGTTAGAAAAACACCAAGTTGCTTGTTAGGTATTTTGAGATCCTTGGAGGAAAATCTTGGAAAATAAAAGTATAATTATTCTTAGTTATTTACTTTGATGCTAACTCGAGAATTCATCCTTATAAAAAGAATAAGGAAACAATGAATAAGATTTGCTTATTGTTAGGGTCTTAATACCCTAAAGTTCCCTGATATGATAATTCCCAGTCGGCTTCCTCCCACCAGCAGGTCCTATGTGGGAGGTATGGATCATATATGAAACACTTACTTTTCCCTGTGCTGACTCTGTGGCATTCCATTACTTTAATTTTCTTTTTCAGCGTGGCCATACCAATAAATAAAAATGAAAAAATGCTCCGGTCGCCCATCTCACCCCTCTCCGATGCATCTAAACACAAATACTCCAACGAGGAATTAACTTCTTCCAGCCGATCAAATGGCAGCAGCTTATTCACTTCTGCTCCTTCCAGCAAAAAGCATAAAGCCGACAACCAGCTGCAGTCTCATGCCGGAGACCTCACGGTTTGTTGTTGCTCTTCTTTTTCCCATTAAAATCAAAATGAAATTGAGTGCCGCCCCCCACCCCACCCCCATGCATGTAGCCCAGCACAGTCTAAACACATGCATGAGGCCCTCCAGAATCCCCGAATGCTGCCTCTGGGGAGACTTAGAGAGGAGAGCACCTCTTCACCCTCCCAACAGGGAGATCTGAGGAAGAAAAATCCAGAGGCTTGGCAGGATTTTATTTCCCATTCTCAAAAGACCTCTAGGTCATACCATCTCAGGACAGAGTAAATTAGGAGTTTTGAACCACCAACCTTTTCATTAAGAAAAATTCCTTATCCCAGGGCAGAGATATATCTGGGATTGAAACCCCACACTGTAACCTGCCAGGCCTCTACTCCACCCTTGTTGACCAGTATAGCAGCCACAGCAGGGGATCCCTGCCACCACTACCTTTCCAGCCATCTTCCCAGAGACAATTGCAGCACTCCCCCAGGGAAGAACGGGGGACTTGGGTTTACAGTCCAGCCTCACATCTTGTTGCAATGTGAGCTTGGGCCATTTGTTTCATCTTGCTGCGCCTATTTCTTCATCTGCAAAATGGTGGTGACAAGATTTGAAACAGACATTATCATCTAAATACCCGGACACCTGTGTACCTAACACTACATGTTAGGTCCTCTTTCCTGCCATGCTTGTCTCTAACCACTGATAACCTCGACCACCCATTCAGAGACATTCGTTAATTCCAGACTCCTGTTCTTCCAGGTCTCTGTGCCTATCAAAACCAGCCAGGCTTTATGAAGTAGGGAGAGAGGTGAGACTTGAGAGCAGGACTCTGCAAAGAGAGATGCAAGGGTGAAAGCAGAACTTAAGACTTTATCTCCGGAATTACAGATATAAAAACTTGATAGAAGGCCCTACAAGAGCTTATAGCATCCTCAGAAACATAACCATCTTTATGCACCCTCATTTGGGAGCAATTATCTTTAAATCTAGGCTGAGAAGACCGTATCAGAAAAACATGGAATAAAAAGCTACCAACTGAAATGGGGTTTTTTGATTTTTGGTTTTTTTTTCTATGGGAAAGAACCAATTGAAGTTTTTAAAAAGACCAAATTTTTCTTTGCCTCAAGACCCTTAGATGACAAGTAACTATGATGTGCAGAGACTTGTAAACCCATGACGCTGTATTTAGTCATTCTTTCACCAGACAGAGGCTTATTCGGCAAGTACTTACTGTGGGCCAGGCCCTGTGCTAAGCACAGAGATACAGTAATGATCCATCTGTGCCCACATGCAGCTTACCGCCTAGCTGGGCAGAGAGCCTTAGATGGGTGGATCACACACATCCATAATAAACTGCCAACAGTTTGCATTTTAAAGAGGAAACTCAGAGAGAAGCAGGAGCTCTCATCCAGAGGCTTGATCCAGTGTGGAGAACTGCATACTTCCTGTGAAGCAGGTCTCGCAACACTCTTGATATTTTGGACTGAGTAATTCTTTGTGGTGGGAACTGTCCTGTGCAGTGCAGGTATCACAGGTCTGGAGGATGGAAGTTAGAAATCAGAGTGTTGGCTCAGTGCCTGTGGCTCAACCGGCTAAGGCGCCAGCCACATACACCTAAGGTGGCGGGTTTGAATCCCCAGCCCGGGCCCACCAAGCAACAATGACAGCTGCAACCCAAAAATGGCCGGGTGTTGTGGCGGGCGCCTGTAGTCTCAGCTACTTGGGAGGCTGAG